TTACGCGAATGGACCATTTCATTGCACGGTTTACTTTTGGAGCAGTCAAAAGCTGAGTGTTCATGGGCCACGAACAATCGCCTAACTCTAAGGCTCCAAGCAACTGCACAGGTAGATAGGCCTTCCTGCTCATTGTGCCAGCCTTTTGGCTTGCATGCGGCTCAAGCCTTTAACATCCTTTGCACACAATGGAAAGCCCACACAAAGGAGTGTAAGGAAATATTAAACGATCAAAACGATCAACCACTCAAACTGGGATGGCCTCCTAGACTCTGTGGCACTTCACCTTTTTCTCCTCATTCCCTCATTCACCGTCCCTGACACCCACAAACAACCAAACACACAACATGGAGACACACACACACGAGCAAACGCGAACCAGCGACAGACAGACACACACACAAACACAGACACGCACATGCGCAAACACACACACAAACACCTGAGGCCACACGTTGAGCAAGCCTCCGCCCAGGGCAGACCTGAGAGCACTGCTGGATGTGAGCCTTGACATTGGGAAGCTCAAAGGCCCACAGCTCAACCACCACTTCTAACTCAACTCAGCGAGCACTACCTCTTCCTGCTTGTATTTCAGATTTCCACTATTCAAGAGAACCCAGGCAGCCGGTTCTTTAGGGGCATGCTTTCTGTTTGGGGTGGGGTATGCTAAACCAGCATAGGATAATAATGTCTAATCACGTGTCCACAGCTACCTAAGCATCCTTTCCATTTTGCTTTCGCAACGAACTGTGCCAGACCACGCATGGGCGGCAAACAGCTATGAACAGCAAATGTTGCCAGAAAAGGAACAACAACAGCACTGGGCATGTTTGTAGGCGGATGTGACTCCGTCACACAACAGGGTGATGCCCTGGCCTAAACTGTGATACCTCACATGCCCAGGAACCATTTTCACCGGCAGGTTGGCTTTTGCCTTTTGCAATCAAACTTGCCGTGTTTAGAAGGAATTATTGTCATGATTGGGGTTGAGCTAATGAACTGACCAAGCGATGCAAAGCAAAATTACACAAACTCACTGCATCACTGTCTGAGCACATCTGGATTATTCTGCCTCCAAGGAATATCGGCCCAACGTCTCATGCGCGAGTCTTGGAAGCTGACAGCGCCATGACGATCACCACGCGGAAGCGGGTTAGCATTCCTGAGCTGAGAGCGGCTTCAGGCAGGGAACAGGGCTCCCTATCACCTTCAAACATCACCCCACCAGAACGAAGCTCGCTGTCAATTGGCAAGAGCGGTGGTGTGTAAAAACAGCAAAGGACATCCAAAGGGCCCTAAAAAACGGATTGCTTTCACTTGCGCAATAAACACCTGTAGGGGGAGTTCGCTGTTCATCTTGGATTTGGAATTGATGAGGGCCCCAGACTACAAGCCCCGGCGAATATGACTCGGCGTGGGAGTGCCTGAAGTCATGCCAGGCAGCGTTCTCCAAAGGTTTCGCCCTCCATCTTGGGATCCTGAAGGCTCGGGGTGAGACGCTCACGGCCAGAGTAAAAAAACTTGGGCACGGCCAGCCCACGGAAATTCGATTCGACTGCATCACCCATACTGTGGATGGACGAAATCCTGCACCACTTGGAAACCATGGGAATCCATTCTTTATTGGTATTTGCAGGAAATTCATCATAGGAGGTGCATGATTTCGTATCCACAGTACGCAACCCTTGCTCCAAACAATTGCCAGAACCTCCCAAAGACGTTTGTCTAGAGCTAGATGCAAGGATCGGTTTGTCAACCATATACTATACCTTGCCTAGTCACTCGATTTTCTGTGCGACAAATGAGACACACGTCGTAGAAACGTTTCCACCTGAAAAAACAAAAGTCCCAGGAAAGACTACCAACAAGAAGAAAAACAAGCCACCCGAACGAAGCACTGCACTTGGCTCCCCATTTCCCTTCGGTCCTCCTCCTCGTCGCTCCAATTCATGAACGCCCAAACCAGAAAGCCAAAGGCCAGGACGCTGCTGAGGATGCAGAGGTCCACCTAGGATTCCGACAGACCAGGCAGCATATGGGTCTGATCAGCGCCCGAGAACTCCAGCCTTGTTTGCTGGCAACAAGCTCGCCTACACACAGACACCCAAATACCTGGGCTGGCAAAACAGGGGTTTCATCAGACAGGATCCAAATGACTTAGCAGGGAGTTCAGCATTGTTTCAGGATACGGCTTTCGCGCTTGAGGCTTCGCTTGCACATTTGGTAAGCGCCATCGCACTAAGATCTTCTCCGACCTGAGCGTCAGCCCATTCACCAGAGTGTGCCGTTGTGCATTTTTTGTTGTTCGAGGATACCAGTTGGAAAACGAACCACTACGTCTTAGGATGCTGTAGATGTGTGTTTCTTCTTTTTCTTTTGGATTGGTTTCATTCGCAGACGCACGGAACGCCCCACCCGCTTCATTGGGCCCCGCGGCCGCCCAGAGCAGCGCCGCCGGAGGCTCCGGCTCCGAGAGCGGCATGCGCGGGGGCCTGCGATCGATCGGTTGCGGCCGAGAGTCGTTTCGGGTGTTGAGGGAAGACGCCGGGGGTTTTATGGCGTGGAAAAGCGCCAGGCTGGCAAGGGAACATGTCAAAGCGGGAACTGACGGAAGGGACGGGATCGAACTTCAGAGAAGGAATGTCTCGTAACCCCTTCCCACTACAGGCCCAATCTGACTTGAAGCAAGGTGCTCGGCCCTGAGCCTCTGTGCCACCCAATGCCCGCATGTGGCAATCAAAGTCCACGTGAACCCCAACTCAGGCATTGCGACAAGAGACAGTCCGGCTGTACAAATGGAGGGGAAGTATTCTCGCAGTGCATCTAAAGCATCAACATATAGGTCGACTTCCGTGCTGATGAGTGCCGGTTGGTTCAACTTTAAACTTGAGCATTTGGCGGGATGTCCGGATTCTGGTTCGGAATGCCATATGAAGAGGGATGGACGCTGCGCGTTGGAGGCTATCTTCAGGTAGCAATGCTGCGGAGTCCTGCCACCAAACCTTAGAACTGCGAGACCAAATCCCACAGACTCAAATTGGCTCGTGATACGCAAACATGTGACCTGTAGACACAAAGCCAAGTCACCCAACATGGGAAGTTCTCAAGACAGACCACCTTTTAGTTGGTCTTAGGGAAGCAACAGGAAACCAACCATTGGGCACCGATTCCTCGGACGAAACGCGAATGCGCCTGCCAATGACCTCACCGATGGAGGCCAGGACATCTTGCATGAAGGAAAGCAAGCCTCGTCATCGGAAACAACGTAGAGGATCCACTTTTGGACTATATGACTATGAAGTTTAATAGGGGGCCTTTTGGTGGACATCATTTAGGTGGGGATTCATGTCCACCAATCACTTTGGGGGTGGTTTCCTGTTAAAAACATGGCCATATTCCCAACGTTTATTCTCAAAAAGGGGGCCTTACCGCTGAACTCCACGGCACGGCAGGAATCGGTGCAATAGTTTGTTGCAGGACCTAGCGGCGGAGGCAGTTGAAACATCGCTGGCAGGTGTAACTGCACACAGGAATCCATCAAATTCCCGCACTCCTTGGTGGAACCAGCCTGGCACGAATGGCACGTTATCGCAATATCGGAGCAATGTATGTTTAACACGCTCCTCGGTTTCAGGAAGTTCAAAAGATGCCTTCATCAGTGCTGAGGATGCAAGGCCGCGGCGGTAGATAAGGTTCACGAGGATTTTCACCCAACTGGCCAGGTCTTCGCAAGCGCCCGAGAGGCGGCACAACGCGATGTGCAACCCATCTTGCGTACAAGTAAACAGGCCCGAAGCAGGCTTGAGTCTTGATAAGGGCTGAGTGAGCAAAAGAATATACAAGGTGAGAACCAAAGCTATTCAATCTATATTCAAGGCCCTTGCAGCTATGACGACACCTGGTATCTCGCCTGAATGACTTTCAAGAAATGGCTTTCGGGCCGGCAACAAGAAAATCCCGGACTCCGTCAAACTCTAGCCAGCGAACATCAGTAGTCGGACAAAGGTGATCCCGCTCGCAGCTAAAGGGATATCCCCGTCTCAATGACATTGTGTTCCATTGCAGATCCGTGTGAGAGAATAAGTAGACCATAAAGATTCATGTATGTGCATACATCGGCCTACCAGTGCAAATAAATAAATCAATCAACATATATATATAGACGTACATCTGTATCCATTTTGTGTATGTATATATATATATATACACATATTATATACATATATTATATACATATATTATATACATATATTATATACATATCATACATATATATATATATACAGGCATATCGTGTCTACAACCTTGTTAAAGCACAGGCACTTCCCACCCCCGCTGCTCCTATGGCCAGATGCCTTCAGCTTCCCTATAGACAACCACTCTTCGCACTTTCAGGTCTTCTGACGCAGCCGCAAAGTCGCAAGCTCACTTTGAGTTCAACAAGCCTTTGATTGAAGCGCTTGTGACTGATTCACGGAAGACTGCGCTCCCAATACCTTCAGAATTTCTGTAACCGTCATCATGAAGTGCCTGACTGTGCTGGGTTGCAAGCCCCGTTCAGAAACCTGGTTGATGAATTTGCGGTTCCAGTTGGGATATCCCAAAAACAGATGATGTAGTTGTTCCTTCTTCAGAGTTGCTCATTCTGTCACCTGTGTTCGTGAGATCCTCGATTTCTGGCCAAGTTGCCAGATTTCAAACATTTATGCTGGGGTCATTGGACCAACAGGGGGTCCTCAACCGAGAAGCACCCAGGTCAACGAGTCAACGCCGCCTGTCGCTGCTGGCAGCGTCGTCGGGAGCCTGGCGTTCGGAGCTCAAGACACTCATGATCTGCAGAAAGTCCGATCCCTGCAAACAGCTGGATGGCCTTTGTACGCCATCACCACTATCATCATCATTGCGCGCTTCTTCTTCTTCTTCTTCTTCCTTGGCTATTTCCTTGTTTAGTCTTTCTTCATTAAGTTCAACTTCATCTCCTTCTTACTCGTCTCATATCCCGATCGCCGTCGTCATCATCATCAGCATCACAATCAGATTCACCATCTTTATCTGTTTCACATTCTTCGTCTTTCTCGCAGGGGCTAACATGCTGCCGTAGCCAAAGACCACCTGACGGGCATCTTCAGAGTGTCGCCGTGCCTCGGCGGAAGAGAGGATGGCTGCAGACCTGACGCGCCAAGCACCCCAGAAAGCCCGATGAATACTACCGATATCCACATGTGCCTCATTCATGTGGGAAAGCTTCTTGTTTTGGCCTTGTGCTATGTCCAGGTGAGCAGCGAGCGCCCCGTTCGGGTCGCTTGCACCAAACAAACAAGCGACGGTGCTGTCGACACGAGTTTGGCTCATTCGCACAATGAGGCTGCGAAATGAGTTTGGTCCCTGCGCAGCGAACAACCATCTCAGAACTGAAGCGGATGACGCGCTTGAATTAGCGGAAGCTGTGAGGTTCAACACGGGGACGGGAGACTGGACCGTCTGATCCGGGGAACAGCGCCTGGATGTGTTTAGTGTTTTAAGAGGGCGTTAATTTGTAGAGGCCAAGCTGCAAACATGTCGGTCCAAATTGAAGCTCGGCTTTTGAGCTGGCTGGCTAAAGTTGGAAAGCAAAGCAAGGCGACATCATCATTCAAAGCTGGAAGGAACCAACACCTGGTTGGCGACCTTGGAGGTCCATAACTTTGAGACAAAACACATACCCTCTCTCTCTAATTTCCGGAGTGGACTAGCCAAATGATATCAAATGAGTCTTATCTTCTTGCTTGCAACTTCGCTGGTCTTGCACAAACTTTCCAGTCCAGGAAGATCGCAAAGACAGACTTGAAGCTGTACATGTTCGGCCATTGGAGTGTTGGTTGTGTGCCTGGTTCAGAGAAGGCTCTTGGACCAGCACTGAAGCGGAACCTGCTGGGATGGTCTGGGGCCCATGAATGAATAGCATGTTTGCCCCAGGGAATATGTTTCTGGTTTTGCCATGCGTGTGCGTGTAGGTTTTTGCGGGAAGGGAATGGATCATTGTCCGCACTCAGACATGGGCATTTGGGTCGACTCGTTCATGCGCCGCGAAAATACGTGCGCTGCAACATCATTGGGGCATGATGTTTTGGGAGTCCACCTACAACTCCGCAAGAAATTCAAACAGGCTAAAGCGGCCTTGCACATGCTGAGTTGGAAATGCTTGCAAGTCTATTGTTTAGGGAAGGGCAGCGGGACAAGGAAAATGCCCGCAAAAACTCTGGTAGCTGCCAGTGGGTCTTATCACACAAAGGCAAGATGTGGCGGTGGCTTGTGTTGGGGTTAACAGGAAAGCATGAGCGTGAAAGCTGTGCAGCAATTTTGGCCCTAGTCAGATCGCAACAAGTGGCGATTGCTTTACACTGGGCTCCCAGCACTGCCACAGCGGAGGCAGTGGTGCGCGCGATGTAACAATGAACCTGGCGATCGCTTGGCGCTCGATCCGCAGTCATGAGATGCTTGACGAGAGGTCAAAGTTGGGGAACACCCCCAACTTTTTGTTGGGCGCGCCAATACGACACCAGGGCACCAAAGCCAGAACCGGCTTTGTTATGCAACCTCTCAAAATTCGTTGGCACCTGAGCCACAAGGCGCCTTGTATGCATGCACAGCGTGGCTATACTACACTGTTGGCGTGGACCATAGTCCAGCGTTTGAGCTCCATGAATTCCCCTGACACTGTTTTCATGCCTCGTTCCTCTCAGTCATTGTCTGAGTCAAGTTCAAAATGCGGGACCTTGCCAAAACCCATGCAAAGAATCATAAGGGCAAACTGACCTATTTGTGGCTGGGACAGTCTTGGTTCACTCGGGAATTAAATCAGCTCATCTAAATGAATAGGAAGTCATGTCAGTGGGACGATGCAATCCCAGCTCTTCAATGATCCAGGACAAGCAACTGATTGAACCGAGTGCCCAGTTCGGAAGCGTAGGATGCTCGGGCAAAGCATTTTGGGGAAGGGGACTACTCCCAGCTTGACAGCATAAGGGCAATTGCAACTTCTGAAAGCGGTGAGGTACGAAAAATGGAGCTCAATCTCCATCGCTTTTACTGGCTGTCAAGCAACATCTCTGCTCATCGGTGGTGACATGTTCCATATGACTACTGTCAAACCCCTGTCAAAGATTTTGAAGCAGCAAGGCAGCGCTCAAGATCCGACACTGTCAGACAGATCAGCCGAGTGATATACCGCCCAAAGTGCAGTTGCTGCTCATGCGGTTGATCTAAGGAAGCATCCAACTGCCAATCCAAAATCAAATGCAAGACTGAAGAAAGCAAAACTCTGCACACCTCCCACAGATTCAACGGCCAAGGCCCCAAACAGCCCAGTTGCCCTCTCAGTACGCGAGTCAATTCCCGGGGGCTCCCGGCAGTATGGATGCGCTGGCGCCGCTGCTGGCGAGACTTCTTGCAAAGTCCTAATCGCGGTGGTCGCAGGAGCCACAGGTGTGTCTGTTTTTGAGGGGCCCCCTTTTGGTTGATTTTGAAGGGTCAACAATGTGGTCCTTGGATGCGCCGGGGGGTGGGAGTCATCTGGTCCTGAGAATAACACAAACTTTGCATCCTGGTGATTCAAGCTAAGGTTTGATGACCATCTGCACCAGCCCGATGAACTCGCGCACGCTGTGCGCAAAGGACGCTACCAACAAATCCACAATGCTTCGACTCAATTAGTCAATAAAACGCGGTTCCAAACCCTGGACGTTTACTGCCAAACATGTGTGAACACATTGTCTGTTCAACTCCCAGCTGTTTGCAAAGCTCATATTTTGTGCGGGACTCAGTGAAGATCGAACACCCTCGAGAGCTGGCATGTTGAAGCAGTCAACAACTCTAACAATCTCGATCAAGCAACATACCTGATGATAGGGATCTTCACATGGGTGATATGTCACAGCTGCGCGTGTGTGTGTGTGTGGGTGCGTGTGCGTGTGCGTGTGCGTGTGCGTGTGCGTGTGCGTGTGGGCGTGGGTGTGGTGTGTGTGGTGTGTGTTGTGTGTGTGGTGTGTGTGGTGTGTGTTGTGTGTGTGTGGTGTGTGTGTCGTGTGTGTGTGTGTGTGTGTGTGTGTGTGTGTGTGTGTGTGTGTGTGTGTGCGTGTGCGTGTGCGTGTGCGTGTGCGTGTGCGTGTGCGTGTGCGTGTGCGTGTGCGTGTGCGTGTGCGTGTGCGTGTGCGTGTGTGGGTGCGGCGTGTGCGCGTGTGCGTGTGTGCGTGTGTGTGCGCGTGTGCGTGTGCGCGTGTGCGTGTGCGTGTGCGTGTGTGTGTGTGTGTGTGTGTGGGTGTGGGTGTGCGTGCGCGTGCGCGTGCGCGTGCGTGCGCGCGTGCGCGTGAGCGTGCGAGTGTGCGTGTGCGTGTGCGTGGGCGTGGGCGTGGGTGTGTGTGTGTGTGTGTGTCTGTGTGTGTGTGCGTGTGTGCGTGTGTGCGTGTGCGTGTGTGCGTGCGCGTGCGCGTGTGCGCGTTTGCGTGTGTGTGTGTGTGTGTGTGTGTGCGTGTGTGCGCTCGTTGTTGTTGGTTGTTTGGAATTCCAGCAGCAGATTGATCGGCTTGTCGGTCGTAGGAATTCCAGAACATATCCTGACTAAAACATCAATGTCTGGGAGGGAAGGAAAATCATGCATGACACTCTTGTGACACAAGGTATGTATACATATTCACATATCTTGGGTGCTGTAGATCCCCCACCAAAAGTGTTAACTGTTTGCAGGTAGCGAAATGTGAGGGGTATCCAAAAAGTTAGTCTACAGTCTAAAGATCTAAGCTAATAGCAGTAAACCAAATATTGCTCCGCTTTGGTTGACCAGCTTTAGCCAAATGAAGGACAGGGGAGTCCGAAGATGCTCACGCAGGCTGGGAGCTGTGCCGACATCATCAGCGCCAACCTGATGGAACTTGGCGAAGCCATGGAATTGGATAGCCAAGGAGCGGTTGCCGCTGCCGCCTTTGTGACCCTTTCTGGGGTTGCCTAGGAGACCAAACAGAAGCGCCGATTTTGAGATTCCCATATTTTGAACCGGACATGGCTTGCCTCAAGATTCGGGATTCTCTGTTCCATGTTGTTTTGCAAACATGGAAGCCGAACCGCAGACAAACACGTGGAGGGTCCCTAATTGCTGCGAGGTATGCCCATGTGTCCAATGTCTGCCTCATTCCAAAGCATCAAACGAAAAAAAAGGCTGGAAACAAAGGGGTGAGATGTGCGCCGCCGGGTTCTTGCCTGCTGCACAAGGGTTCGTCCCAAATGCCGAAGGTTTGATGTGGGCTTCCCTCTTGAAGGAATCCGTATGCTTCGAAAAGCAGTGTGGTAAAACTCTTAACAACTGCCGCGGGCCGAGAACCGTCAGAAAAAATGCGTCTCTTTCGACACTCGGCCTGATTGAAGTGATTGAAGTCTGTGCTGCACGTTGGCGAGTCAGCACCTCAGGATTCGGACGCCTTCCAGTCTGGAGAACCCCCCCGCCCCCTCGAAGGCCTTGTTCGTGCCCCAAAGCGAGATGGATGGTGAGTAGCCCGCAGCATCTGAAGCATCTGAAGCATTGGGCATGTGCTAGTCTTGTGTCCGACATGTGTTGTGACAACCACGAAACACGGGATTTTGACATGTTCAGCCCGCGAGCTGCAACTCACTTCCTGAGAGCATTGCAAAGGGTTCTTCTTCAAAAAGCGGCTGCAAACTTCACCTGCCAACTTTTCTGGGAGCTACTTCACCTGCCTCGCGCCAACTTTTCAAGAGATACTTTACCTGCCAACTTCTCATGCCAACTTTTCTTCACCTGCCAACTTCTCATGCCAACTTTTCGTGAGTTACTTCATGCCAACTTTTCGAGAGTTGCTTCACCTGCCAACTTCTCATGCCAACTTTTCGGGCGTTATCTCATTATCCTAAAAACACAAGCTAACTTTCCGGGCATGACTTCACTGTCCTGATTACTTTACTAACTTTTCCTTTGCACCTTCGCTGCTCAACTCTTCATTCTTCTTCTTTACGAGAGCTTACGAGACGTACCCCTCTGCAGAAATTGTGCGTGGCGCCGTACGAATTTCTCTTGAGCGCCGCAAACCCTCTTCGGAGATCGTGCGTGTCGGATCGCTCTCGCTGTGGCGCCGTGCGAATCTGCTGTGACCCGGACAAACCCTCTGCGGAGATCGTGCGTGTCGGATCGCTCTCGGCCGTGCGAATGTGTCTTGGTCGCGGCGAACCCTCTGCGGAGATCGTGCGTCGGATTGCTCTCGCTGTGGCGGCGTGCGAATGCGTCTTGACCGCGGCCGAACGGTCTGCGAAATGTGTCAGACCCTCTGCGGAGATCGTGCGTGAAGGATCGCTCTCGCTGTGGCGCCGTACGAATCTGCTGTGACCCGGACGAACCCTGTGCGGAGATCGTGCGGCGAATGCGTCTTGTCCGCGGCGAACAGTCTGCGAATGTGTCAGACCCTCTGCGGAGATCGTGCGAAAAGGATCGCTCTCGCTGTGGCGCCGTGCGAATCTGCTGTGACCCGGACGAACCCTGTGCGGAGATCGTGCGCGTCGGATTGCTCGCGGCCGTGCGAGTGCGAACCCTCTGCGGAGATCGCGCGTGTCGGACTGCTCTCGCTGTGGCGGCGTGCGAATGCGTCTTGACCGCGGCGAACAGTCTGCGAATGTGGCAGACCCTCTGCGGAGATCGCGCGTGTCGGATCGCGCGCGACTTCGTCTTCCACAGCTGCTGCAAGTTCAGGGGATGGGCTTCCCGACGCGCAGCACTTGCGAGCTGAAGCAGAAACACGAGGTTCTGACTGGCTGCGGGGCGATCTACATGCGCGACATGTTGGTTGGCAAGATCACGAGGAGCCGGGAGAACCTGCACTGAGAAGAGCATGAAGTTCCTCAACTGAGAATAGCGCATGTAGCGCAAAGAGACAGCAATATTCAAACCTTTCAGTGCACAAAAAACAAACACTGACACAAAGCTCCGTCTGTGTGAAGCTTGTTGCTGCGAAACAAGTGCGTCAAAACATTTGTCGGGGTAATGCACGACTAAACTACTTAATCGCAGTCAACTTGCCTCTATGCTTTCGGGCCTTTCGTCGTCTAGTGTTTACCACGAACATTGTCTTCTCGAAAGTGTTAAGTCCAGGAAGTCAGGAAGCTCTCCGGGCCCCCAGGCAGTTCGTCGACATCTCGACGAAGTTTGCTACGTTTTCCATCAAACCTGTCAGCGAAGATCCGGGAGTTGCAACATGTTGGCATAAAGTCTCTCACACCAACGTCTTTCAGACCTTTGCCATATTTCAGACCTTAATTCCACAGCTCTGTTCCCCCTAAGAACCCCAACTCATCCACGCGCCCTAAGCAGGCCATGCCACGGGCAGATCCCCGAGCTCAAACCAAAAGGGGGCTCCCCAAAAATCCTTTGGCCTCTAAACCAACCCAAAGCAGCCAAACCACCCCCTTTGAAACGCGAGAAAACAATTCAACCACCCCCTCTTTACACCTCACACCTCCCTGCCAGCCCCTCCGCAAATCCGGCCAACGAAGATACTGGGCCGTCAAATCCGGCCACGGGCGCCGACTCCCTTGAGCCAGGGCTTCCGGTGAGATGAGCAGATAGCGGAAAAAAGCAAAAAACAAAACACGAGACTTAAGGTTCATGTGAAGACACTATGATTTGAGGTGTGAAGAGGTCAACAACCCTCTTATTCAAGGTCTTTGGATCCTAGGGTGCGTAGGGACCCATTTTTTTGATTGGTGGATGCGAAATGCAGCCAACACCATAGGCCGACACGTGGATATGAAATTCGAAAAATCGGCCGACGCGCGGTTGCGCAACAGCCCACGACTTGTTGCGGCCCCCGTCCCGACCACTCCAACTGTTGAGGTGTTGCACTCGCAAAGCTGGACTCGAGCATTCCGACAGGCCAACCCTCCTGACCTTGAGCATCCCGACCGAAGCCACGCTGAACCAACCCTATGACCCCACCCCAAACCCACCCTAAAACAGCCTTAACCCTAAACCACCCTCAAACAACCGACCCTAAACCCACCCCAAACGAAGCCTAAACCAACTCTAACAGACCCACAACCAACGAAAAAACAACTAGAAACCAACCTCAAAACAATTCTCAACCAACCCTAAGCCAGCCCTAACCCTAGGCCGTCTGAATTTTGTTTGTCTGATTTTCGCCTCTCTTTTCTGAAAGTCGCTTCGCCCATTTGTGATTCGTAGCCCTGTTGCAGGGACCTCTTTTTGATAGAGAACCAACTTAAGGTTGATACTGTTGGGATTGGTGGTTTGTCCCATGGTTCATCCAACAGTAGGTACTCCTGGCACACAAAAAATAGGACCTACCCGGGCTGTGGAACCTCCAACTCACATCCACAGGAATAATATGGCAAGGTCTAAGGGCTGGCCGTCACGTTGCGGGGCTGGTCAGGACCATTTTCCTGGAACTATCTCTCTGGTGGCTTTGACCCACTCGAAAATCGAGGCTGGACCTGGTAAGAAGATGAGAAGGTAGGACGTTCAAAACCATGTGATGGAGCCGGCCGGGCTTTAGGCTTTCCAGGCAGACGCACCAAGATGGTGCCCCTGGCGTCGGCTCAACTTAGCACCCCTGAGTACCGCACACCAAAACATGACTGGCCCCGGTGAAAAAAGGACACGCCCATGAACGAAGCCTGCAAGCACCCATGCAGCCCGCTTTTTAGCCCTGCCCACCTCGCTGGCACGTCCAGGGACTCAGTTTGGCAGCTTGATCTACGATTGGCGGAATCTATAGGAACAGGGCGCAAGCAGCCCTCTGATACCACACACGCAGACTGGCCTCAACGCATCGCATCCAGAAAAACAACACCAAGTTGTGGAACTCGTGAAAACGGCAATCATGTTACAAAACCCATCGAGCCCGACCCATACGCGGATATTCCGCAGCCTCTCAGAGCTCGTCCATGCCCGGATGGTTCATCTTCGTGACACACTCACAGAAGCGGTTGATGGTGCCTCAGCTGCGCTTGAATGAACCTTGTGAATGAATGGAGTCAAACCTCGTGCAGTACATTACAAGGCTAACTCATGCGAGTTGCCATCTTTTTCTTCCTCCCGGTAGCGCAGGACTGGAAACTTGTCATTCTTGCACTTGTGCTGCAAGCCGTTCAAGTCCCAGCACGGGTGAGCCCGGCACACGCACTCCTTTGTGTAGTCGTCAAAGTCAAGAACGGGGTACTCTGCATCTCTACATCTCTGGCCGGGGCACTTGGTCTTGGTCATGTAAGGGGTCTCATAGTGCGGTGCAGTGGCACACTCGCAAACAAGCTGACCCGTCTCAGTATAGTAGAAGTTCAGGAAAGGTGCCTCCGGCTTGGGGCACGTGTGCACCATGTTGGCGTCGCTCCAACACGGGTGCGCACGACAAAGGCACTCTTTCTTCACTGGGTCATAGTCGAGCAGCGGGTGAGACTTGCTATCGCAGGAGAGATTGCGGCAAATGCTTGCCACGTGCAAGGAGTTTCCAGCAGCCAACGGGAAGCACGACACCAAGACAAATTTTAAGAACGCCATGCTGCCTGGAAGGTCAAATGAGAATAGACTTGAGCCCAGTGGTCCTTGCCAGGACAATTTGGACGTTGCCAAACATGTATGTGTGTGTGTGTGCGCACGAGCTAGTGGCGCAGAACGTCCGCAAACCACCCCGGCCTCCCCCCCCACCCAAGAAAAAACACATCCCCCCCCAACTCAGTGGGGGAGGGATCCTTATTGTTGGAGGGACACGATTGCAAAAAAACAACCAGAAGGAAACACAAGCTTTTTTGAAGAGCTCCAACGCGAGCGTGGAGAAGACAGCTTCCAAGGTTCAAAGAAAACGCGGCGCTTGAGAACAAGGCCATGGTTGGGCAATGCCTTTCCATGACCGTCCCATGACTGTTTCATTGCGGTTTTCATCTCCAGCTGTTTCATTGCGCTGCTCTGCCAGTACGACATTGCCGAGCCATGCCCGTTCCATCCTTTCATCACTGCCACCCACGACACCGCGCTTTCTTTGCTGCCGTCTCTGCTTCTTACCGCGCCATTGCTGCTTGTTTTCCTCTATGGCTCAATCACTGCGCTATGCTGCCATGACCAGTGGGTTCCACCGTTTGGGTCGCCATGCCAACGCTGTTGCCCAGTGAATCTACAATTCCACATTGTTGGGTTGCTCTTCAAACGCCAATTCGCTGTCCACTGCCGTTCCACCACTGTTCCACCACCATTCCATCCGACTTACATCACTGTTCCAATGACCTGTCATCGCCGTTTCATAGCTTTTCCTTCGCCGTTGCATCAGTGCTGACAGTTCCGGTCAAGTTCCTCAAAACTTTTTGCTTGCAAACCAACTGCCCTTCCACTAGCGTTTCAGTGCCGCTCCATTGATCCGAAGTACAACCAGGTCAGGGACCCGTCGTCAGCGTGTTTTGCGACCCCATAAGTTGGTTTCAAAGAAGCATGCGCACTCCCAAACAGTGACACGAGAACCTGACTGCGCCGCAACATTGACATAGCCAGCATTGCCACCACGTGCAAATACGCTCGTCTGGATGGCGCGTTTATGTTTTGCCCTCGAGTTGCTCCGAAAACGTTCCACCCACTGTACCAGTGGTGGAAGGGATCGCCCAATTCGGATGATTGTCCGTGGAATCGATTCGCAAACACCGAGTGACTCAGTTAGGTGCACGCAGGTTGATTCCACTGACACGGCAAGAACTCTGCTTGCCAGATTCATGCACACGCTTGGTCATTCTCTGGTCTTCCAGGTGCCAAGCCTAGAGTAGATGACTTGGGTTGCATCTACTCTCGCCCACCTGCTGGGCAAGCGAGCAATACGAGGCCGTCCCTTCTGGGCAAACTGAGAACGGCCCAGGCCCGCCCAGTTGCAAGATTGGGCAAAGCAAGAGCGTGCCTGGGCCTTGGCCATTGCACCTTCTCCAGGTCTTGCAAATCGTGTGACACAAGTGAACCCCCCTAAACTTCACAGA